CGTTTGACGTGTGTGTCACGCTTGTGATGTCACAATGGGCAGCGGGGTTGACCTTTACGAAGTGACGCGCACCGTGGATATCAACGATGCACGTGAAGATTACGCCACGCAGTGGCACGTTGCGGGAATTGATCAATGAATGTCAAAGTTAATTCCGGGAGATATGAGTTGATATTTAAGTACAACTATGGACATATATGTACACAGACAGAGATGGCAAAGAACGAAGTCAGTGACTGGACTACTCAGACATTAAGCACACATCAAGAACAATGTACGCCAAAGAAATAGCAGCCAAAAAAGGCAATAATACAACAGCGGCCGCATATGTCGCCTATCCCCGTCTGGCTCGTTTGCCGGCAGATTTGCTTATCTCAACCAGAGGAGTGTCGCACTCGCTGGCAGAGGCTTCGTCATCTTGTGGCTCCTCAACTCCACCAAATAACGATGAATACAGTGGATCACGATTATCCGAGCTAACGCTTTGCGAGGACGGCGGGTCGAGCCTTTGGGAGGAGGTGCTGGCAACGCTGCTGGCTCCATTTCGATTACTGAATTGAAAACGCATTAGTGCTGATAAAAGGAAAAAGAGAAAGTCAAACTCACAGCGACAGCGGAACTCGACCACCACTGGGGCCCCCGGTACCTCGAGATGAGGGAACTGTAGGTAACGATATTTCACCGTGACAAATGCTGATAGCATGCACCTATGTTGAAAAATCAGTAAACTTGCAATGGAGGGGCGGAGAGACACGGAATGCTAACTTCGTTTTCCCACATAAAAAGGTTGGAATTGTAGTCCTTAATTTGGCCGGTGAGGAGGACTTCGCAACCAAGCTGACAAAGACTTTGAGCCTTTTCCATGTTGCGCACAGGCGGGATGTAATGCTTGGTATGCCAACTAACCGGGCCTTTTGTCTGTGAATATAGTCAGCATCATGTTACTTCGTTCGACAGGCAAATGGACAACTAACAATTGGATCATAGTCAGTCGACTTGAGAGTTACAACAACCGTGCTTTTGCCTTTGAAAGCAGAATCGGTGATCATTTCTCGAGCGACCACGATTCCTAACGCTGACATGGTTATCTTGTCAATCAGCTCTCCAACAAAAAAGTTGCCAAACTTGTCAACTGATCCAAGATTTACACGATTGGCGTTCTCAAAGTGAAGCTGGTCGTCATTGCTGTCGTTGGTACCGATGAGTTTGCAATTCATCGAGTAAACGTTCTTAGAAGCTAAGGTGTCAGACTGAGATCCATAAGACGTGATTTGGATGGGATTTTCGAAGGGTGCTCCGCCATTCATTCCGGATGTGGTGATGGATGCGTGATGTGAAATAAAACCTTTGCTGCCGTTCATTTTGGTCAACGCCTACAATAGTTACAATGACGTCAATTATTGATGTTGTAAGTGATTGCAACTCGACATACCTGGGTACCCGCTTCGCCCAAAAAACCAACTCGGATGGGGTGGGATGGGATACGGTTGTCATTCTTCTTCATTTGTTGGGACATCTTCAGTCAATGAGGATGATCAACGTCAACAGTAAAGTGGAGTGTAGATAAGTAATAAATGGAACAGATTGAAAAGGTCAACGGAAACGATGGATTGGGGATTGGGTCAGGTGTTGACAGAGGTGGGGTATTTAGCCAAGTGTAATATGGTATGAAAAATGTCAGCAGCGTCGAGGGACGTGGTACAAATTGCCTGAACTGCGCCGATCTTGCGGTATGACGGACGTTAGGTGCTGAGCCTAAGAGTCAATGCTTTCGAAGTGGCAAACAGTTGACTTGCTACGCGTGATGAGGGTACAACCGGTCTAGTTGGTGAATTTGCCACGTGAAGGCCCAGGTGAATTTGTTATGTAGTGTCGGATATTGGTCATAGGAGCTCGCATGGTCAAGGTTCACTTTCAAACGACGTCGATAAATAGCAATGATGTAAGTTGTGGACCAGGCAGGTTTGCAGGGCGTTATGAGAAAAAAAACATCATCATAGTTGGAAGTTGACTTTTGGTCAGGTTGACACGGCAGGGAAGGCGCGAAGGGCAAGGATATCGATCAGACTTCATAAAAAAGCCGATATCGGAATATGATAGCCCTGATGAATGTACTCTGATGTAAGCATATTGTATGGCGATAAGAAACTATAATGTTGAATGTCAATTGCTATATCAGCGGCTTTAATGAAGTTGTCACTGCTCAGCAATAGAATGGAAGTTAGCGCTCACCGATTACGCTTCGGCACATCCACCGGCAGAATAACAGTCGATACATTACAGTGGCTGAATTGTGAACGCGAGGAAACTGTCGATGTAAACTTAATACAAAGGTGATCCAATGTGAATGCCGGTCTTGGACGTAAAACAACCAGGGAAATAATCGGGACATGGGAGGGAGTAATGGCAGCTGGTGTAGAACAAAGTACCGTTTAAGTTACTTAATAATATCAACAACTCATAAGAGTGGCGAACCTTATGCAGATACAGCATAAATATGTCGGTCGGAGTATTGATAAGGTAATACCGAAACGTACATACTTTGACTTCATATCAATGTCAATCCTTTGACGACAAATTTTGATATATACTGTCCATTATATATATGGAGAGACAGTTTTTGTGAATCATGGAGGTAGTTGTTTGGTGGGGCGGTTTGGATACGCGCGGTGAGTTGCTTGCATCTTGCACTATATCAAGACAATAGGTCGCGTCGAGAGTTGATTTCCAAGTCTCTATTGCCACAAATATATTTGTATTTGTTTGTCTTCGTTTCAGCATAGTAAAGAAATAACTGCTGAGCATCATTTGAACACATCTTTCACGTTATATTTGCATAGGTCTTATTGCTACAACTACTTCTAGGTAGTTCTTGATGTTGCAAATAAAATGGAAGGGGCGAGCATTGTTTTTACCGAGGATGGGTGCAAGAATCACGGCAACGCAAAACTACCAAAGAACTAATCTTGTGTGAAGACCCGACCTTGTCAAATCATGGATGTCGCAGCGACGCGCCTCGGAAATCAGTTATATTGACATGCCCGTCACTGCAATGGCTGAGGTCAAAGACGGTTTGGATCAGTGCTTCACCTGTTCTCTATATGGCCATGCTTTCGCAAACTGTCCAATCAAAGGCACCAAACCACGCAAAGCTTTCAATGACTGGCGATTAGTGGACAACGGAAAGATGTATAGTGTCCTCGCTCTTTGGCCACATCTAGCATTGGAACGCGCTCGCAGTGGTTCGCCCATATACAAAGATGCGAGTAGTGACTCTGTGGTGAATTTGAACGATAAAGAGTATGTCATTAATAGCTTGTTAGACAGCTTCCTTCCTATTAATACTGTTCACTTTACAACGATGTTATACAGCGGACAATGTGTCAAAGGCAACGCACAGACCTTGGGTGCAGAGATGTCAAAGTCAGTAATGCCGTGAGTGATGTTTATCATTGGCTACTTAACGTTTACGTTAGCGTTGGCTGAAACGACGCTTGTATTAGTGATGCGCCAAAAGAATCACTGAACGTCACTGTAGTGCAAGAAACGTGTCCGGACACGACAAAACCGATTGGTGACAATGGGGAATGCAATGATCAAAAGTTCAAAGTGATTTTGCTTTGACATTGGACGTAATATTAACATTTTACGGATTTGTGGGCAGATTGGCGAAGGAACCCATTGGTGTTCAAAGATTGTCGTCGATGAGCGACAATAGAAGTACAACGTTTGTGATTCACTTATATGGACGAATACAAAATGCTGCAATATCTAGACGTCTGACTATGATGATTTTTGTAGGGACCTAATAAAACAAAAGAGCCACGATGTAGAAGGCGACGGCAATGACAACACAAACCGGCAGTGCGTAGTTGTGTGATCAGCATGATAGGTTGCGACGGAGCTAACGATAATTCATCAGGGTCATAAAACGACGACGGGTACCAAGATCGCGATCATGCTCCAGCCTTTGCATTAAACCCCGACTTGTAAGCTGATGACGAACAGTAAGTTGATGCGATGAGTAACTGACAGTACTGTGCATAGTGTGTAACCTTTGTACGACCGACGGGAGACGATGAGCACATGTTGTGATCAACATCGCAATGGGCTGGGACCTATTTAAATTGGACTGGTGTTAACGTGGTGTCATTATTTACTGGAGTGCTGTACAATAGATGATGTAAACTGAGCTGGACAATGAGGCTCGAGGGAATTGTCAGAGATCAGATAGCGGGCGGAACTGAATGTCACTACGTAGAAAGCGGTTGTTGGGTAGTCTATGTGTTTTTTAGTTCCAATTGAAATCAATTTTTTTTTGTTTTGTTTTGTAAAGTCACGTCTCTGAAAGGCACTAAATCAATGTATTGTTTATGAGACTGGGCCAGTGACGGCGACTGAGATGCAAAACTTACTGGAATTGTGAAGGCGAGGAGAGCCGGTGCTGTGGCGAAGGTGCACGTGCAGCCGCCACTTTGTCAGGATGGCGATTAGTGATTGGGTGGGTAGGAGATGGCGCGTTGGGCCGGAACAACGCAGACAGCATCGCCGAGTCAGACGTTTCGATCGTGAAGAGGGCTGTGGGGACGCATCAATCTTAAAGATAAAGAACGCGCCGAACAAAGGTCCAATCAGTGACCACAGCTACATTTTATATATCATTTCAATTGCCGCATCATCGACAACGTCTGCAACATAATGGAACCAGCATATTTGCCAATGGGGTTTCAATCCGGTCTCTTTATAGAAGATGCAGTAAGTCATGGCGATGGTGTGATCCTTCTTAACATGGCTGATCATGCGTCTCACTTAGGAAAGCGGATTGAATCGGTCGACACATGAAATAAGACGCTACAACAGCCACGTCGTGACGGCGGGCATTGTTCAACAGTGGATTCCAGCTACGGTGATAGAGCCTAACGCAGGCGTGCTGCAAAGCAACACAGCGTACTTTGCATGCGGCAGACTGATTTCAACCGAGGTCAACGGGGGCACAATATTGTATCCGGAATCTGTATGCATGGCTGCTTTGCAGTGTGAAAGATCAAGGCAAAGGATGGCGGCCGCGGGGACCCTCGTCACCAGTATTGGGAGGATTCTCAGCTGTGACTTCTCACATGTGGACAATTGCTGGGTCGTGGTAGCATTACATCGAGATTGGGATCCTGAAGTAAGCGGTCTTGAAATAGCTAATGGGCGTCGCTAACGGCAAATGTTAGGTAAAGGATGATATTTCCTTTCACGCGCAGTACATCTTAGGACGGCACAGAATGGCGGAATTTGGTTGCGCTCTGTTTGAAGCGGGCAATGTGCTGAGTTTTGACGGTCGTATTGTGGACTACATACAGAGATTGGATTGCTGGAGCATTGGAGTAAGCTACGTGCTACAGAACTATTGACAACAGGGAGCTGACGTTACATTTAATAGTTGACAGCGGCGGCGGAGTTTACTCAAATGTAGGAAGGGATCAGTGTGTTGTGTGTGCCGCCCGAGAGAAATTGTTGAAAGTGCTCATTGGGATGGGAAACTACTTGTATGCAGGATATTCCACATCACTACGATTAGATTGAAAGCAGTTGCATTTGTAGCAGGATGGAAAGGAAGTCAAACTCGCGGTGAAGTAATGCATTGAAGAAGTAGTTGTGTTGGAACAGTGGTGAGCATGACGTTAATCACGAATGTTGAGAGAGACATTGTCAAAGAACTGTGCCTCGTTGTTCGATCGGCAGGCAAGGTGGAAATTAATAGCCCCTGCACAAATCTTTGCAGGGAGGGCGGGTTTGTAATTGCCGCCAATTGCGAACCTGGTAATATGGAGTGATCCTCAGAAGGAACATTGATTAAGAGCGTTGCGCCGTTTCAAGCAACGTCGGCGAATTTTCTTTGCTGTCTTTACGATTGGATACCAACAGAATGGAACGTAATATGGAATTTTCATCTCCAGCAACAACCGCTTTAATAATGACTTGGAGCGGGATTGTGCGAATACGTGATGAGGTTAGTCTTCTTAGTTTGGTACATGTCGAATTAGGGATTGACAATGTTTGTAGCATTATGTAAGTGATGGGCGCGGACACCGACACCGATGCCTCGACGTTGTCCCCGATAACATCTCCGCCCGCCGTATTGCCTGCCCTTTTACTCTTAATATTGACGACTTCCAAGCATTGGACAATGGAACAACGGTGCACGTATCTGGAGAAGTTATAGCACCCAACAACGGCATCAAAGCAATGATGTTCATGTATGGCGATGTGGAACAGGCCGCAGTGGCGGCGAATTCACCAACTGGAGAGGCCTTGAATATGGTTGAGGTAAATAGTCGCGGAAGAGTATTGCAATACATTCAAAAAGAAGACAACTGGGACTGCATGCTGGTGAGACATAAGGTATGGGTGGATATCGTGAGTGAATTGTCCACATCATCAAGATCCGACACTGAAGCCATTACATAGTCAGGGGTGTGGGAAGAATTCGTGGCAATGTATGTTGACATCGGTGATGAAGTATTACGACGTTCACCGACAGTGCAACCCGGAGCGGTAGTAGAATTGAAAGGGAGCGTATTGGAGTTTTGCAAAGAGGGAAACATGTGGGCAATACATGTAAGTGGTCACGGCAGTATTTTAGTCAATGATTGACTGAATAGCAAAATTTTTAGGTGAAAGAGGTGTTGTTGGAACGTCCGAGTTCCGTGTAATGGGAATGATGAGGGCAGTGGACCTTAACATGTTATATTGCTGTCTGCGCCGTGAATAGATTGCGAGGTGGAACGTCCGAGTTCCATATAATGGGAATGATGAGGACAGTGAACCTTAGCATGTTATATTGCTGTCTGCGCCGTGAAGTGTTTGCGAAGAGTTGTACACAGGAGTCATAATGGGTTGCTGAGACAGTCTGAGATGCTTGAAACATGCGAAATCTATTTGCGGATAAAGTGACCATATAAACATTTAATGAGCTATGTACACAGGTGATTGAAACAAAAACGTATTACATATCGATGAGACTCAAGAGTTGGTGTCAATTCAGGATGGAGGAAGGCCACGCTGGCGGTGACTGCGACGGACGCCAGTGGTTGGGTAAACGATTTGAAAAATCTCTGACGCCTGTAGGGAAATTTAGTATGTGTGAAACGAAGCAGCGGGGTATGTTGGCTTACATTGACTGTCCACGTGTTATTGGCGGTGGAATAACCAGTGACGACGCCTCGTAGTGTGATGATATTGCCAACCATCAGCGCGTCAATACTTAAGGTTGCAGTAATATAAGATTTGATATAATAATCGACATAAAAATCTACGCGCTGAGAAAAAAAGTGTTTGTCAATGTGAAGCGGACATCGATTGAGATAACAACTTACATTAGCACTAAAGTTTTGGTGGAGTACTCTGACTACTTCGACGTTAAGACCATTTTGGAGTGCAGGTTGTGTGGTCCATTCCACGATTTTTCCAACGCCCTGCGTCAAAACTTTATTCATCAGGCTGTTCAATCGAACTTCTGCGTTGTCAATTCTAATGGTATGCTCAGCATCTTCAAAGATTACTGAAGTGGTGTCGGCCCCGCCAGCAGCAACAGAACCGTCAATACGATAGGCACGGTTGCTCTGCAGAATGGTTGCGTCCCGGGAACCAGCGATCAACACATTAACTCCAGTCAAGGAGCCACATTGGACGACTACGTCGGTTTCGAAACATTGGTAGCGTAGTCTGGAATTCGAGTCTTGGGGATGGATCTGATGAAGTAAGTCAGCTGCGAACGTGAACGAACAGCGGAAAACAGACTTCTTTTTTTGTCCAAAAAATGCTGCTAAAACGGAGAGGGAAGGGAGGATGAGAATGGGACATCATAGTTATGAAGGCGGTGATACGTAGCGGTAATGGGAGATGCCGATAGAATGGCATTAGTGAGCGGGTTCTTTATAGAATTAAAGAAGCGTAATGTGGTCTTGATGAGGGCTGATAACATGGAATCATGGTGTCGCGTTGAATAGGCCGGAAATGTATCTAGGCCAGGCGTTTTCGACGGAAGTAATAAGCAGACGGAGAGCTTAGCCAAATGACTTGTGAGAGACCCGAGAATTGCCATGTGATGGACTGAAACCAAGATAGGCCAAATGGAAACAACTATTGGCAAGGGTGAGGCAGAGGGTATTGGCTGAAATGAGGGAGACGGCTTCGCAAAAAAATCACGGTGAACAATAAAACGAAGCAAGGCATCACGGAAGACACGGTTTACAGGCATGTGAACATGGTCTTGGGTCAAGGATTACTTGGTATGCGGCAACAGTAGATGGAGAGGTAGCGTCAGTGTAACAACCACTGGAAAAACACGGTGGTCCAGCGTCTGACGGCGGCGGGGCAATGACAACAATGTGACGGGTTTTTGCTACTTTGTCTTTTTTTGGTATTGAGCAATCTTTCTTTTATATGTTTGATAAAAGATGAGCATGTTGATTTGAATCATTGCGCAAATCATTTTGTCTACCCTTGTTGTTGAGTTATTCCAAGTTAACAACTCCCATCCAAATCAAACAATTCAAACAAAGCTCAATAAGAAAAACCCAAATCAAACGATTCCAAGGTCAACGACTGGCTTGTGAAACAGCAACTCAACTCAACTCAACTCAAATTGCAGCTTGTTTACCAAACAATCTCAATCACTGAACACCCTGGTCTTACGGTCACAGTTTGACTTGCTCCCTATCAAGAACAGCTTATCAATCTCTTGAGGGAACAATATCACCTCCTTTCAAATCCGTGGTGTTCAAGTGCATTTGGACTCATCATCTATTAAAGTCTGCAACAAGTGGAAGGGTATATCAAGAAAAAGTTTGAATATTGTTGTCAAAATTGTCTCAAGCCAATCTCAGTGTGTCGGTTGAAATCTTGGTCCATTTGAAGGCAGAGCACACAACTTCTAAGCCTGTCCCAAAAGTCTCCTTGTCAGCTCATTTGGTTATTTGTGCCTTGGCTTTGCAAACATCCTAGACTCAATACAAAAACAGCATTGCTTTGTGCCTCAAGTCTTTGAGTTTAGTGACATCACACACATCTTACAGATAACATACACGGCACCAAGATGTGCGCCGTCAGACTCCTGCAGGCCTGATATTGCTTTGATTGACAAAATTCTCTTTCAAAAAAGAGACAGACATTCAACTGGTATAAGGTCTTCAATTAATAGTCATTGCAAATGTAAAAATTAGAACCAAACACATGTTTGAATGTGTATTGTGTGGTAGTCAATTTGTGTCACAAAAGCATCACATTGCGCTATCTACACACCAGGCTTGTGTGTGCAAACATGAACTACCTGCTTGTCAATCACCTGATTTACCACCACTAGCTTCTAAATTGCTTGCTACTCAGAATGCTTCTTTGGCGAGGTGTATGGATCCTCTGACTCTGACTCCTACTCTGACAAATCAGACAAAATGTATCAATCCAATAAATCAAATAAATCAGATGAAGTGGATGAATCCAATTCATCAGATGATTTTAACAATGTTGATGTTGACAAGATTTCTGAGTCTTTGTTGAACACTCTAGATGGAAGTGAAGTTGAAGATATAGAGACCATGGATGGATCAACTTCTTGTGATACATCTAGTAATTTAGACATACTTGATTTAGAAACATCACTTACATCTGATCAGGAGAGTGACTGGTATCCATTCAAGGAGAAAGAAGTAAGTCTTCTTTTTTACTTTGTTTGGTTAAATTGTATTCAAAATACTGAAAGTCTCATTTTGTGTTCTTCCATAGCAGCTTGTGTCAACGCTTTTGATTGGAAGTTTGCAAAACTTGATCTCAAGAGAAGAATACGAACAGATACGGTTGATTTTTGGAATCTATTCAATCTTTTTTCAAACATATAACACCACACAGAACATGTGTGAACGTTTGAGGAAGCGGTTATCTTTAACTGTTGCTGAGAAAGAAAGTCCTTTAGGAAATCCTTGTTTTGGATTGAAGATGCAAGAAATTACCGCACAGGTTAGTTTTCCATTTGATCTGGAAAAAGATTGATTCAAGTTGACTGATTTCTATGACGTAGGAATTGAGGAAGCCACTTGTTAGTCCGCATCTGGTTCTCATGCCCGAGGCTGTCAACGATGAACCCATCAACCCTCTTTCACAATTGAAAAAGTGGAGAGAAGATTATTCTAGAGGGACGCCACTATTCGGCGCCCGGTCGAGTAATATCCGAAGCCCGCTTTTTTCGGTGCTTTACCCGCTGAAATCATTGGTTTTTCGGAGAACCCGGACCCGCCACAGCCAAATTTGGCCGCAGCCGCGTCACACCCGGGCTTATACAGCAGCTTATGCCCGATCGGGGAAAACCGGGCTCAACAAACCCTCAGAAGAGGGCACGAGTGGGCCAGAGTGGGCATCCAAGCCCTTCAAAGTGGGCATTTGTGTTCTCAACCCGGGCTACAACATCAAGCACCCAATCGAGCAAGACACCACTACACTTCCCTCCAAAACAACCATACAATCAACTTACAACAACCACAAGAAACGTCCTAAAGGTGCATGAGCCGTGGCTTTCCCAACATGGTAAGTTACCTGTTCACATTTGTCTCCCGCCTTCTGCGATTTCTCAACGCTGACCATACCAACGTCTGTTCACAGCTGTCCTTCACCTTCATTCACTTGCCTTGTCTGTTTAACTCATCCGACCCTCCAACATCCAAACCTCCAATCTCGATCTTCATTTATGTGACAATGTCTCAACCCGGAACCGGACCCATCAATGCTTCGATTGGAAAAAAAACCTTGTTGAACCGTCCAGGCTACCCTCCTTTCTTTCCTCCACCGTTACCCTACCAACATCCACCTGTGATGTATCCTTACTGGCCGCCATATCCGTACCCAAGTCACAACAATAGTGAAAATAACTCTGCCCCTCCCAATTGGCAATGTCCTCCCTATCTGTCACCAAATCCTTATGCTTATGGATCTCAGTTACCTCCCTCATCTTTTCATGATACGGACGACTTTGATGAAGCAGTTACTCAAACCGATTCCAAAATTGATCCCATCAAGCCCGAGACAAGCATCAAATCAGCTGTATCTCAACTCGCTCCCACCATCGAAGAGAAGACTGCTACCACTAGTTCGAGCACTCAGATCATCAACACAAGCACCAATTCGACTGTATCTCATCATCTTGCCCCCATCGATGAAAAAACTTCAACCAATTGGTCAAACGGTATGAACATACCCTTATTCAACCAATCAGCACATGCGCCAACTGAACCAACAGGTCAAATGCCAATACCCAATCAGCAAGAACCTGATGAGGATGATTTCGACGTGATTGACCTTCAAGCTGAACGGGACAAAGAATGGCCCCCAATAGGTATGTTCAATTCACATAATTTTGAGGTGTACAACATTTGATCATTGATTTCATTTGAATGATTTTCATTAGGAGCTGAACCGGTTCGTCTTATGGAATCACCACAATTTGGAAAGCAATTCGTAGCAATGGAAAGTGGTGTCATGTACCTGAACGCAGTAGCTAGACATCAAGGCTACGGGATAGCGATCAAGAGCCACAAGGGCGAGAAGACTCGTGTGTACTTCAGGTGCGCACTCGGACGGCCGGTACAGTCAGTAGCTAAAGTCCACGAAACTTCAACAAAGATGACCGGGTGTCCCTTTGAGGTCTCTCTCAATTATCATAAGAGACCCGCTTGATGGATCGTGCAGCAGGACATCAAGAATCCTATCAAACATAAACACAACCATCCACCTTTTGACCAGCCTCATAATCTTTCGAAATACCAACAATTCTCAGAAAACGTCATGGGCCAAATTGAATCACTTTCATCCGCTGGTTGTTGAGCATCTCAGATTCGTCGCCTAATCAACTTTCCCGCCAGATCAGAGCCTCTAGTTCGAGACATCCATAATGCTCTTTATCGGTTAAAAACCTCATGGTTAGCTGGCCGTACACCCATTCAGGGTTTATTTGACTTGATCTCCGAAGCGAACTGGGCCTTTTGAACAACAACCGCCCGCAATGGAACACTACAATTGTTATTCTTGGCCAGCCCTCAAGGAATCAGTATGGCTTGCCGGTTTCCCACGGTCCTGGGTCTTGACTGCACCTACAAGACCAATAGGTTCAATCTCCCCCTCCTGCACATTGTAGGTACAACCAACACGCACAAGACTTTCACGGTGGCCTTATGTTTTATGCACAGCGAGGTAGAGGAACGTTATATATGGGCTTTAGAACAGTTGAAATCTGTAGTTTTCGGTAGGGAATCTCCTCCCAATATGACCAACGACATAAACACTCAACCTCCTACGATCGATTCTGTGGATGATGCTCCGCAAAATGCTGAAAACAACGCCTCTGACTCCTCTAACAACTCCTTGAAAAACGAAGACTTGCCACAGACATTTTGCACCGATGCCAAGCCAGCTCTATACAATGCGATAGCAAAAGTTTTTCCTTCTTCAACTCATATATCACTGTAAACATCATTCAACTTCCCCAATTTGGCAGAGGAAAATGATTAATAGTACAGTTTTTCATAAAAGAATCTAATACTGCACACCTGGGCCATTTCACCCACACTACATATGTGCAGCAAGCTAAGTCAATAGTTGTCTATCATGTACATACAGGTCTGCTCAGTTTTTTGCCCATCAGAATAAATAAATCACATGTTATACCACATGTAACTTTTTCGACTTTGAAATTTTTTTCCCAAAAATTCACTACATATAATTCTGTAGCTGCTCAGGCAATATTGTTGAAGCTATGTCTTAGTAACAGAAAGTGTGTTACATGCAGTTGAGTTGATGAGATCACACCAAAACATTGAGTCAGTGTATGTAGTCAATCTTTTGGAACCTTTTTTCAATCTGAAAGAAGTTACAGCATGTATTACATATGAATAACTTGTCCTGATGAGCAGATAACTGAGCAGAACTGTATGTACATGATAACCACATATTCACTGAGCCTGCT